GGTGAGTTTCATCTGCTATTCAAATAAGGCGATAAAATTTTTGGAATTTATGAATGAAATACAGATAATAACCGAAGTTATGAAGAAAATCATATCTATTTATCCAAAACAAAGTTTATGAATAAAATCTTTAAAGGAAAGCCTAGCGATCCAGACGGAAGGGACAGTCTCTTCTGACTCACCAACTGGAAAAATATTCCTAAAAATTGAGTAGTATCAGCAGACCTAGCTTGATAGTTAAGAAAGTTTCCTCCATTTCTAACATGCTTGCGCCAATTATTATTTATGCCTATATTTATTAAAAAGCCAAAAATGATTACATCTAGTGTAGTCGTCAAGTTAAAGCCTCTTAGCATATTGTTATTTCTGGCATCCCGCTAATTCGAATAGTTAGAATTAATAAAAACTACTTATATCTATAAATGAGCGATGCAAAATTTTATTAGATCTCTGCAGGTCTACGGAAATAATCTAAAATACAATAGTTGATAGGAATAAAAAGCCAGATAGTATATTTCGTTGAGCGAGATCTGTTCGGGATTTAATTCAACTAAATTCCCACCAACTCTAACCTCAACTTAAATAACGATATGGAGACAAAATAGCTGTTATTTAATTTGCCAGAAGAACAAGTAGCATTTACATTCTTTTGTGAATAGAACAACTTATCTCATTACACCACCATAAAGCTTCAGAAGACAATTGGCTTCCCAAAGAAACCCAGTTTTTCAGGGTATGAAGGCGTCATATATAACAAAAATTAAGGTCCGACTGGAAATTATCAAAAATTAAGATTCTCTATATAATTTAAAATAAGAAGGATCCTGGTGCAAGAGACAGTATATTTGTATTATCCTGGCACCTATAAGTCTGAAAACGGATTGGTTGATCCAATAAACAAACCCATAAAGGAAATTGTTAAAAATTTTTTCCCTGATTATCTGGGAAGTTAATGATAGTATACATGACTTTAGATAGCGTTAACTGTGGGATGCCGTAAACATTTATGTGCGTATTTCCCTTAAATAATAAAAACAATCCTTATATAGTTCTGTACTTTTACTACAATGAGCAAGAAAAGGCTAATTATCCAAATTAAGGAACATGTGCGAAAGCTTGAAAAAAGTACTATCAGCAAACTCCTGATGAACAAAGTGCATTAAGAAGTGGGTTGACCTCGTTATCGCAACTTGATCTTGTTGTCAGGGCGACTTAGTATAACTCACCTAGTTCGAATTCGTCTGCCCTAGTAGTTGTCACAATTCCCAACATCAGACAGTAGACTTGGTACATTCTCAAACGTTTCGCCAGCATCGTAGTCGGCATCATCAGTGAGTTTTGCCATTCACCGCACCAAGTTACGAACTCCTTAAAGAGAC